CACCCAAAGAGTGATTAACACTTGGAATTCACCGCCACAGGAAGTGGTGGCGGCTACAAGCATGGACGGCTTCAAGAGGGAATTAGATAAGCATATGGAGCAGAGGTCCATCAGTGGCTATTAGCCACAAGGTATAGATAGGGATTCTGGGGCAAGTGATGCTCTGTCTTCTTGGTGCTTGGGGGGGGGGTCAACAGTGGGAGGGCTTCTAATGTCCTGGCCCCACTGGTGGACCACCTGATGGCACTGGTATTTCTGGCCACTGTGTGATACAGAGTGTTGGACTGGATGGGCCTTTGGCCTGAAACAACATCGGCATCTCTTATGTTCTTAATGAAGCTCACTGATTAATACCATTGTTCAGCAAGACAGTAAATTTTGCTTAGCACAGTCTATACGTTAGTCTTACTTTTTGCTTGGCACAGTCTATACGCTAGTCTTAGTTTACTTTTTGCTTAGCACAGTCTATATACTAGTCTTACTTTTCTATCATTAGAATGTGACAGTTTTATATATTTACGTAGCTTGTATACTTGAAAGTGTATATATGTTTTTAAACATTAAAAATTGCATATGATTTACTTAACCCAGCAGCAGTAAAAGCATTAGGGTTTTATTACCATAAAAGCAACAATCCATAAGGGCCAAGCTAATGTACCACCAAAGTTCAGCTTTGAAAGTGTCCAATTACAGCTACAACAGCTGTACTAAGCTGCTTACAGGGGGAAGTAGCTTTCTTACATTGCTGAGCCCAGACAATCTCTGCAGCAAACACCATATTCAGTATTCAAAGTCTAATTTCTAGCTAATAATTCATCCTGAACTAGTTTACCTCAAAACAATCTGAATTTCTGTTATCTGCTTTAACATTCATGCAATTAAAGCCCAGTAAGATTGTTTGGGAGAGGAAACTGTAAAAAGCCACAGTACAGTCATTAGATGTGGTATTGGAAATTACCCATTTGACAGATAAAATACAAAAAATGAAGAGTTGGAATGAAGAAATGGAACTCATTTGTTGTATTTTGGAATTTGGCCAATGCTGTACTATTGCATAGAGATATTTTTAATTTCCAAGTACAATATTTCTGTAGTGTGGAAAGCATGGCAAGTTGTCTGAAAAGCACACATCTGGCAAAAAGTGATAAAAGTCTAAAGATGTTCAGAAATGTCAGAATGTGGTCTAGATAGCATAACATGTACACATCCCAGTATTTGGTAGCAAATTCTACCATTATCTTCCTTCTATTTTTATAGGTAACTATGGTGAGCTACTTATGGTTTTCCTGCACCAATGACAAGAAACAGACACTTGCTCTTTGTACAAAACATCTTATTTGTAAAACGTAAACACCAATTTTACTACAGAAACTAAGTTGCTCAACTCCATGGCACAATGCAGCTGTCAGTACTTACAGAGGCCTCTGTAGCGTGATAGTTGCTGGTAAATCTGCTTCATGCGCTCAATGTTCAGTCGACTGGTTTCTGCATGATTCACCATAGGTTTCGGATAGTCTATACCAATGATACATTTAGCTGCCTTCTGCACTGACTCAGGGGCATTCCAAGGCTCATAGATATAGCGTGAGGGAAAGCCTTTCAGCTTTGGCAGATATCGTCTGCAATACAAATTGAGATAGACATTACAGTTCACTCTGCATTAAAAACAGGGTCTACATATCATCAGACAATCAAATGCCCCAGCTCTATAGAGGTTTCACTCTTGAAAAGTTCACTGACAGAACTGGTCAATGTGCTCACCTGACAAAGTCACCACTAGGATCTGTACGACGTCCAAAGCCAACAGGGCAATAACAGTGGAAGAACTGTTGGAAGAAAGCACTGCATGAAAGCCACATCCAGCTGCCTGAATTCACACTGAAATCTGCATCCAGCAACAGCTCATCAAACACCTGTAACAAATCACAGTAAAAACCCCAATGAGGAAAACCTTTTAAGGTAGATTTCAAAGGCAGTGTCATGCTAAATCACTGGTGCAAATTTTGATGAGTAGAGCAGGAACAGAAACTCACTGTCAACTGGATTACATTTAATTACTTGGGTCTTAGAAAAAAGATACAAATGTGCTAAACAGCCAACCACATCACAGGTTTGTGGTATAATGAAAGCTAACCTAGATTGTAATGCAGAGGTCAGAATGCATTTATAAACATATCCACCTGCTTAAATCTAAAGAGGAGTGTGTGTTTTTAAACCAACACAAAGTACATATCTAAAGGGAGCTAAACTCTGCCAGGTTCCCCTCCGTATGTTCTAATGATTTTTGCTCATTACCCAGCTCAAGCAAAAAAATCCTGAAAACAAAACAGTGCAATGAGGCAAGGTTTAGTTTCTCTCACTCACATGCTCAGTTTTTCCCACCCAAACACTTTAACCATGGACACATGTTGATCCTCTTCACTTCTAGCTTTGCCCAAGTCTCTTCTGACAAGAAAAGTACTTCTTTCAGTCTCAAAATTCTCATTATTATTCTCATTTAGTCTACAAAATTGTATTGCATCCTAAACATAACCAGCTGATTCTGGTTTCTGGGTGTATGTCAGTTTCATCTGGCTTCCAATTGTCCTTCAATAAAAGATCTTTAGCATCTCCACATTATTTAAGCCTAGGCATAGCCAGAGGCTTTTCTAGCAGGGGAGGTGAATCTTGAGAACATATCTGCCAGCTGAATAAGGCCCGGGCTGAGTTTCTGCTTCCCTTCCTATTGCAATGCTAGAGGAGCATGCCTTCTAGCAAGAGCCAAAGGGGCCCTGATCCTTGGGTCTTAACCCAGAGCCTGTGACCAGACCAAGATATGGTGTATTACTGAACTCTCTGGGTTTTATTTAAATTGTGTAAAGCTGTTTTGGGGCCCCTCAAACAAATCTTTCAACCAAACCCATGGAAATGAACTTCTTTCTGGAGGCTACCTGTAACATTTTAATTCAAGATTTTCTTTTAAATGTAGGCTTCGGTCAGACTGTAGTTCTGTGGAATAAGCTTTTTTCTTATAAGTGGTAATACATGGCAGTAATGCAGCTACAGAATCATTCTAAAACTCAGTTGCCAATGCATGCTTTCTGCCTCCACAGCTCACCCTCACTCCAGACTCCCAGCTGATCCACAGGTCACCTCTAGTCAGAAAGCAAGCTACAGCATGCCGAGCCAGATGATGAATCCAACCTTCCTGTCTCAACTGTGTCATGATGGCATCGATCCAGGGAAATCCTGTCTTGCCTTCTGCCCATTTTGCCAAGGCTTCAGGATTCCTGTCCCATGGGATCTGGATGCAGATTGGGTTTCCTTCCATACGGTCAAATTTAGGATTGTTTGTTGCAGCTGTATAGAAAAATTCTCTCCATAGCAACTGACCATATAGTGATAGTGGAGGAGTACTATTCCGCTTCACCTAGAAAAGACAGGAAGCAAAATATGCATAAAACAGGTAGAAATGGGATTTTCGGGTACCTGAACACAAAGTCTAAACCAGGGATGGGCAGTAGGAATTTTACTAACCAAGAACCTACCCAAACCACTTACATTCATAAGTCCAAGTAAACAAAAGTAAACAAGTGGGGACCTGTGATCCTCATGTTATCTCTTGCCAATCCCAGCTTCCTTCTGCCCCCACCCATTTTGCTATAGGGGCTGCCATGGCTCCCAGCCACCACCACCCTACCATTGCCACAGCTGGGGTCATTGCACCTTCCAATCCCCCCCCCGCGCTGCTACCATAACCCACCTCCCTTGTTGCTGACTTGGTGAGGTGCACAAGGACTCCTGCATCCCTGCCCAACTCCTTTGTTGCTGGCTTAGCGGAGGGGTGGGCTTTGAGGACTCCTACCCCTATCTCCAATGGCCATAGCACCAACTTGTCCCCCACTGGCCTGCACCAGGAGAAGTGTTTCTGCAGCTGTGAAGACAGCTATCTTCTTTCGGGGGATTTAGGCCCTCTTCAATTCTTACAGGTTTTCAATTTTTTTTTTGCAAACCTGGGGGCTTCAATTTTGCAGGAAAATCTGTTTTCTGTCTCTGTGGTCCCATTCCGTGGATTTAAGCATCCACAGACTGGGCCATAATTTATTAAAATATACAAGGGGGGCTTGCAAGATTCATGGGGAGGAATCCCATCTTTCCCCCTCTGTTGCTGAGCCTGGCACAGCTCCAGACATTTGCAGCCACCTCCAGGTTTTATGTTTTATTTCGGGAGGCATTTAAACACCTCAATGTATTTTAGTTTTCAGATTTTTCTGCAAACTTAGGAGGTTTCCCAAGTTTGCAGAACTATCTGTTTTCTGTTAGTATGGGTCTGAAACACAGATTTAAATATCTGTACAGGGGCCCACACGACTATCAGAATATAAAATATGATGCTCCAAATTCAAACAGAACTGTTTTTACATTCAGTAATGGTCAGATGGTGATAGTTTTCAGGCAAAATTTTCTGAAGCAGCAAAGGGCAGATATCAGCAGATATCCCAACTAGAACTAGAAGACATTATCATTGAACAGGATTGTTCTGACTGGCATTTCTACTTTCTGTCAATCACTGTGCCTTTTTATTAATTTGAGAAGGGCTTCTGAGTATATGTAGGCACAGGTTATGCATCTGTGCCAGCTACTTTAATTTCTAGGGCTGTGTATGATGAGCAGCGACAAAAGCTTTGATTGCACAAACTGACAGGTGGGTGGAACAGAGGCAGAAGCTATGATTTCCATCCCCAATCCCTTGTCTCACAGCTCATTTGCTTTGCAGACTTGGAGGGGAGGGAGAGAAGAGGAATAAAGACAGAGCGAGACAGCTATAGCCTCTCCCCTCCAAGCTAGTAGGCCAGTCCTACAGGGGATAGATAACAAAGATTCTTTCTGTATACACTGGCTGGCAAGTGGGACTACAGACACTTGGGAATGAATAAAGCATAGACCTAGCCCCTACCACCATGTTAGGGAGCCGGGGGGAGGGCGATAAGAGTGATGTGAGAGGTGTGTGTGTGTCAGGAGACACCAGATTAAGGGGCTCTTCTTTTAGTGATTGGACCATGGAAAGAAGAAAACAGACTTAGCCAGAAGGCATACTGATGAACTCAGTTCAGGGGAATAAAACAGGAATCCAGTGACGTCTTAAACTAACAATTTATTCCAGCAATAAGCTTTCATGAGTCACTTCAAGAGAATGCACCTTGTTTTATTTCAGTGTTACAGCAAATGCAGCTACCCATCTGGAATTACCAATTCAGAGGAGGACTTGTAAGCAGAGCACATGCTTTGCGTATAGAAAGCACCTTGCATCTCAAATTAAAGGATCTTTGTGCCAGATCTGCCACACCCGAGACTGTGCTGAGCTGCTGCCAGTCACAGTGGACAACACTAGACAGAACAGGGATCAGACTCACACAGCTGGGTATGTTCACAACTTCTTAGATGCTTACCCAACACAAAGATAAAAGGTTGTCTCTCTATAACATGGGATATGAATAAAGCCATGGCTACAATGGGAAGTAAAGCACAACCCAAGGAAGAGTGCAGCCAGAGGGGAACAGTCAAAAGGTAAGGAATATGCCAAAATGTTACACACTGTTGCAACAGTAGTCTTTATTAGAGATGGACAGAGTGCTAATGTTTTACCAAATGCTCAAAAGCATTTTGATTCTTGGCCTAGATGTCTTCCATTTTTGTTTCTCACCTTTTTGTATAGTTCCCGGAGACGATAATAGAATAGGCGGCAGGATAAGCAGCCAAAACGAAGGTAGGGACTGAGCCCTGTGGGGCTTGCCAGCAATGAATGGGCGTTCATCCTTGGCCTTTCATAATTTGCAACCCATGCCTTGCAGGATTCAAGAAAAACAAAGAAAATGATTTAAAGTGAATATGAAAAATAAAGTTCTGTAAAAGTTTATCAACAAGAACTGCTTATTGCTACTTCAGTATTCAGCAACTGCATGGTGGAAAGAAGAGTGGTACCTCAGCCATCGGAACTCTAGCAGCATTATAGCTCAACACGAGTTGAGGCATATAAACATTTACATGTAGCCTTTCCACCCAAATACACCATCTTTCACTAGTTCATGAAACTTGGTTATCCACCTCTGATAACAGCAGACCTTGCTTAATCAACTACTAGCACACAAGATAAAGGAAGTAGGTCAGGGATGCCAGAATAGTCATAGGAGTACATATTACATGTACATCAAGCTATAAAGCATAGTCAAACCTGCTCAGAACACCACAAAGGATAGTCCTCTCCCTCAATTTTATTCACTATACCACTGTCCCCCCTGCCTCTGCTCTCCTGCTGTAATCTGGTACCATACTGAACTGATGCAATCTTTTTCTCTTGCTTTGTTAGTTAGCATTCAGTTTTCAGATAGATAATTTTGCAGTGCATCAAGCAGTACTGGTGTAGGAATAGCATGGAGTATGTGGGGTAAGCCACACCTAAAATAAAGTTCTTCGTATCAGAAAGGAAACAGTAAGACAATTTGGGATTTAATGCTCATTTAAGGATAGAACAACAAATAATGAAGATCTTTGGCCTGTGATATATCCATGTAGCCAAAGAAGTGAAGAGATTACTGTCTTTTTTATCACCAATATGCTGATACATTTATACCCAACAATTTCAGGGTAGTTCAGGAGATAACCGTTTGAAAGCAAGTGGTATAGCAAAGGTGACATTACAATGTAGAATTTATGTGGAGTTACCTTTCTTTCCAAATGTTTATCCAGACGAGTTAAGGCTTCAGTTTCTCCTCCTTGCCAAACAGCAGGGGCAAGACCATCAGTGGGGAAACCTGAAGGGTGAAAACAGGAGCAGTGGTTAACCTTAAAAATTTCTAACATTAAGCAACTGCTTAACTCTAGCTTTAATGCAATATTGCTACATATTTGCTAATTATGCTTCTATTTAATTCAGGATGACTTCCTATAACCAGAAGAGGGTGCTATTGAATAAGGACTTGTACAGGCAAATAGTAAAGCAGCATGTTCTGAAACAAAGAGTAGTCTTAATTTTTGTACAATTAAGATCTGAGCCTTGAAAACAAAATCCCACGATGAAAATTCAGAAAGATCACAGTAGTTTGGTTTGGAGACTCTTCAGGTAATAGAATGTCATGGACTGGATGGAGGGAAAGCAGAGTCTTCTTGCCCACTTCTAAATTTACATAGCCAGCTTAGACACACACTTTTATGTTCAACATGCTGTAGTTCACAACCTTACTTTCTATCCATTGGGAATGAACCGAATGGCATGATGGCTGGGCAAAATGACACAGTGACAAAACTATAGGGGCACTAGAGCAAAATTAATGGGCAAAGCACTGACAGATGCTTGCAACAAAGCATTTAAAATGTTTACATTTCCTTTCATCCTGCTCTCAGTTCATGTCATTTGCTATGTCTGTAACCAAAACAGTGTCTGGTTCTATTTTTTAGGAATTTCTACAGCAACATGAAGTCTCAAGAATAAGGCTTTACAAATGACAGCTCTGAAATGCATAGATCCTTAAATAAGAACTGCTTTATTTGCTATCACTACTTGTCACTAAATTTAATTGTAAAGTGGATGGACTCCATGCCAATCATTCATTTTATTTATTTAAATATTTATACCCAACTTTCCTCCCTAGTGGGAACCCAAAGCAGGAGTACCCAAAGCATTTTACAACACCTTTTTCCTCTTCCTAGATTTATCCTAACAATAATGCGGAGTAGGCTGCAAGAGAATAACTGGCCCATGGTCACCCAGCAAGCTTCCAAGGCAGAATGGAGATTTGAACCTGGGCCTTCCAGACCCCAGTCCAACACTCCTAACCACTGCACCACACTGAAAGCAGCACAAGCAGGTTTGCCAACAGATTGGGTGGTGGTGGTGGTTTATCTACATCTTCAGCAGATTCCCCCAGTATGCAGACTTTGTAAATTAGCCAAAAGGAAAAGATGCTAAAACAAAGTCAGAATACTTTTTAAATTAAAGTATTTGATCTGGCTGTATATTTCCCATTAAATAAACCTGAATTGTAAAAAAGAGAACGCAATTACTAGTAAGGAAAACATATTTTAATGCTTTCAACACATTTCTAGTGATATATTATTTTTTATATTTTTGGACACAGTTTTTCAAGTACAACTTCCTTTTATCTACTAAGCTGCAGTTAGGCAACTATTGCTGCAAAAATGGCCAAATTTGTGGTGTTGAGTACAAAGAGCACTTCAATTTGTTTTCTTAGGTCCCAAGATGCATTGGTAACCTGGAATCTTTTTCTAAATCTATAGCCAAATCAGGTCAAGCAAGAAGAAAAATGCAGCCCATCTCAAAGGCACAAGAAGCCCAAAACAAGTCGGTGTAACTGCCCCAGAACTCTGCAACATACCCAGCTCCTCCAGGGATGGAACCCCATATGTCTCATCATGATTTTCTTGGATCTCCATCTTACATTTTTCCATCTGACCACTTGTTATGGCAGCAGCTGGCTTCTTAGGCAGTTCCATACGGCTAATGATGGCCTGGAAACGCTTATACGTAAGAGGAGGTTTGTGTCCATTCAGTTCAATTATCCTGCAGAACAGGAAAATGCAGTTACAGAGGTGGAGGAAAACTGCAGCTTCAATCATGAAGTCTCCTTTTCAAACCAAGGAAGGGGGACAAGCAAGAAAAATGCACAAACAGACATTCATTCATACCTATTCTATTGTTCCCCATCTCTACCATTAAGAGACCAGAGTCTCTTTCACATCTTTGTCCTAAAAAAATCCTACAATCTCCCAGAGTACATCTTTTTTTTTAATCCCCCCATAACATTATTAACCCCCAGAAAGAAACCTTACCATGAAACTCTCCTTGTTTCTTCTAGGGACAATATCCCAAGGTGTAGCATGATTGGGACACCCTCCAAGCCCAGTTCATACTAGTGTTACATGTGTGTTTAGAGTTACAGTGAGGAAATATCATTGTTCCTAGAACTTTGTATCATACGAATTCCCTTCTGGGGGATTAGTGAAATCCCTCTCCAACTGCAACAAAGAATCATGAAAACAGATTTCGCATGCTTGTTTTATTTGCTATGTAAGAGTTCTACCTTCATTTAATTCAGGCCAAATGCACAAACAGAGAATCACTCTACAAGTTACACAGAATGAACTGACAGAGTGATGTGATAGAATTCTAGACTACTTATCTTCAGTCTGCAGAGTATATAGTAGTGGTATCACTATCACATTTCTGAAGGTTTCCCGACACACAAGACTTCTTGCATGTAGTAACTTAAATTTTTGGGGAAGCAGGGAGTTATATTAAAGCTTTCAATATGCAGGAAGTTTTAATGTGGCAGAACATTCAAAATGTGTGAGGATCACCCACCTGCAGTCTCAAATGGTATAGCCCCAAATTCTATCACCTCATTCTATATAACTTGTACAATGGCTCCAAGCTTTCTTCTTGTAAATTCTTACTGTTCCATAGGAGCAAAACCTTAAAATTTCAGATGTCAAATGACATTGGCTGATTCTGCACTGGTTTGTCCCTCCTTTGTATTACCAAACCCATGTTGGAACAAAATTTCCCCTCTGCACTGTATGCTGCTTTCACTTCCTTTCATCATCGGATTTAATGGTAGCCTTCACCAGGGCTATTTTTGGGCAGGAACGCACAGGAATGGAGTTCCGGCTGGCTCCCAAGTTGGCCACGCCCAGCAGAAACTCATTAGCATAATAGGCCACACCCAACCGCAGAAACTCATTAGGATTGGTTACATTAGCGGTGTGTGGCCTAACATGCAAAGGAGTTCCTGCTACAAAAAAAGCCCTGGGTTTTGACAACAAACAAGGTAAACAGAATAGGAAGCAAAAGGTGTGTGTGGCTGGATGACCACACTTCTGGTAACATGGGGGTGCGGCCTAATGTGCTAATGAGCTGTGCTGTCAGGGTTGTGGCCTAATATGCTAATGAATTTCTGTTGTTGGGTGTGGCCTATTATGCTAATGAGTTCCTGCTGGGCTTTTTCTACAAAAAGAGACCTGGCCTTCACACTCCATGCTGCTTTCACTTTCTTTGATCATCGGATCATACCTTCTGCATAGATTTATGGCCATTTTATGACTGTTCAAGGGTGACTTTGCAGTCAGTAGGGCGTTGCCCTGAGGTATTTGAATGTGGTTTTGAGCTGCAGTTCTTTCTCCCAGTTGAGAAAATGTGGAACGAATGCTAGATGCAGAATCGCCCATTAGCAGGCAAATGACAATAGCAATATATAAGACTCTTTCTGTTTTCTATTAATACAGACAAACTAACATGGCTACCCAACCTGATCGATATCCAGAATGGTTCTAGATACATCCACTGTAGTGATGCAGGTTTTATACAGATTATGCCTAATATGAACACTATCTGCAAGTTTTTGGCTTTCAACCCTCCACTGTATTGAAGTTGTTAACATCAACTCGAAAGAAACAGAGGCTGTGGAAGAGAAAAAGAGTCTTTCACTAAAACCAGGAGTAGAAGAGTTAAAGAGGAAATCTGAGCTGAGTTGCTAGCTTATATAAAACTGAAGTAGCCAAATCGGTTTCCTTCTCAGTGTGTCCTGCAGCACTTACAGCTCCAATAGCGACATCCTCTCAGTCAACAACTTATGCAAAGGGTTGGGCTTTTAGTCTAGTGTTTCAGCAACAGCCATGTGCCAGTCCTTCCCCCACAGGCTGCACGTGTAAAGGGGAGGAACTCCACGCCACCCAGGCTTCCATGAAGGCTTTCAACTGCTACTCTCACATGCAGTGCTCTGTGAGCCAGCTTCCCAGCAGCTACAGACATGAAGGCTTTCAACTGCTACTCTCACACGCAGTGCTCTGTGAGCCAGCTTCCCAGCAATACAAAGCAGCTACAAAACAAAAGATAGCATCTTGCTTCACAGTATTTCAGCCCCTTGAATCCAAGTAACAAATAAAATGGGACAGGACACCCTTGAGAAATAAAACACTCTTTTCTCTGCAAAGAAAACCTGTGAACACTGTGAAGATTTGAAAATGGAGTCCTCTCAATACTCTCTCCCCACAGCTCAGTCATCTCAAGAAATCCTCTCAGTTTAGTATTCCCTTCACATCTGAGATTTCCCACCCAAATTTTCACACTGTTGGGATAAATGAGGCAAGAGTATCATGTAATAAGAATGCTTTTTAGGGGGAAATTCCCCCCTAGAGGCAAAACAAGAATAAGCTTCTTTTCCAGAGACAGATATGCTTTAGTATATAATACCAGAGAGAGAGCCATATGGTAACATATGCTGCTTTCACTTTTGAAGCAATCAAACAAGACCTCTGCAATTTAGACGAAACCCTCTCCCCACTTCATGCATTGATATATAATTTGTGGCTCAACCAGAAGAGACTATCATTAACTATGGCAAACAGAATACTGCCCTGGGGTTAATTAGTATGCTAAATTGTTAAAGGGTAAACAAGGCTGTGGAGACGCAGGTTTGATCCCCCACTCAGCCATAAGGATCACTAATAATCTTGGGTCTGTCACTCTCTCGCAGCATTATTATGAGGATCAGCTTAAGAGTGGAGAATCACATATCTGCCTTGAGTGCCTTAGAGAAAGAATAAAATGTAACTTGTATGCATTTTAACAACTTTGCAAAACCTCTAACTCAATGATAAAGTAGAATCACTCTTCCTCATGTCCCCATATTTTATCTGACTAATGTTTAGCATTGATGTAAGAGATAACTATCAGTACTGAACTGGGCTTTGGAATCTGGCCAAGACCTCAAAAGGCAACCTTCACCTAATATCTTGAATCCATGGGACCTCTAGCTTACAAAAGCCTAAGGAAAAAAGGCTCTTCCTGATGCTGATACACTAGGAAGCAGCTTTGGGAGTATATACCCACACTGAAGAGATCATACCCCAAACAGGAGCTCTGGAGATAGTATGCCAACTTTCTATATGGTTGGTATCTTGTGATACATTCACCACGGGGCTACCCTGAGCGTGTGGAAGGCAGTATATAAATTTGAGACAAATAAATAATTCCAGCTACCAAACTGCTAAAAGTTACAAAACAGTGCTAATTTGCAGCTGGTCACATGCCCAGAAAATATGAGTGAAATACCACAAAATCTCTCAAGAAACTGCAAACTTCTGAAAATAGCCAACATGAACCAAAACTTTTCTAACAAATGTTGGAAATGTAGAAAACATGAAGGTTCATTTTATCATATGTGGTGGACATGTGAAAAAGCTGTGGACTTTTGGACTAGAGTTCACAGCGAAATGCAAATTTTTTTGAAATGTTCCTTTAAAAAAGCACCAGAAATTCTGCTCTTAGGACTTAAAATGGAAGAATTGAATATTACAAAAAGAACTTTATTTTGGTACCTGATTACAACGGCGAGAATACTCTATGCACAATGTTGGAAACAAGAAAGAATTCCAGAGTTAGAAGAATGGATACAAAAAACTTTGTTTATGGCTGAGATGGACAAAATTACGAAAAAATTGAATAACAAAGAAGATCAGGAATTCTATGAGGAATGGAGAGACTTTAAAATTTACCTAGAAAAGAACTGGGATGTAAAGCACAATCTATTATACTTAGAACAATATTGAAACTAGAATATGATGTTATCTTAAGGTGTACTGGAGTGACGAGGGGGGAAGCATTGCGGGAAGCCACGGGGAGGGGGAGAGTACAGTGGGGATATTGGGGGTAAAAATTGAAACATTAATGGAACTGATGACATGTCAATATTTTCATGAAAAATAAAATTGTGTTCTAAAAAAAAAGAAACCGCAAACTTCTAATGATTTTATAATTACATCACTATTGGCACCGGTTCTTTAGTACTTCTTATACTATCAGGCGCACACACACTCAGCATCAAGACAGGGTGTTCTAAAATGAGGTTGATAGCATTAAAATGAAGCAGACATTGCCAACACTATGGCACAGTGAAGCACATTGCTTATCCTCAAATTATCCACTGTTCCTTCTTGCATGAATAAGCCACATGATCAATACTGGGTGCATGCTGTCCTGAAGCTTTCCAAAGATAGCCATAAGAAAAAGATATTATTCACACAATTGCAACTGTATTTCCCACTGAGGGGCCACGGTGGCTCAGAAGTTAAGACGCTGAGCTGCAGACTGGAAGGTCTGTAGTTCGGCAGTTCAAGATCCTACTGCCACAAGACGGAGTGAGCTCCTGTCTCTGGCCCCAGCTCCTGCCAACCTAGCAGTTCGAAAACAAGAAATTGCAAGTAGATAAATAGATACCGCTTCAATGGGAAAGTAACACTGTTCCATGCGCCTCGGTGTCTAGTCATACTTGTTACATGACCATGGGAACGTCTTCAGCCATTCTTCGGCTTGGAAATGGAGATGAGCACCGAACCCTAGAGTCGGATTCGGCTTTTGAGCAAGGGAAACCTTTACCTTATTTCCTACCACCCTCACCCTGATTATTTCACAAAAAGGCATACAATCTTTGTCCCAAAAGATTAGGATAATTTGCATTTCAAATGTTCATTTTAAGTGCAAAGATGCCAGTAACTTCTGAAAGTAAAGTTTTTAGCTTCTACAACTCATTCCCACAAGTCCCTTTTCAATAATAATAATATGACATTCCATCTGCACATTCTGAAGGAGGTGGGGACAGAGAAGAGAGAAGCCGTCAACCCTGGAAAACCAAGTTGCTGTTAAAAAGTGAATACAGGCACCGCTTCACTGCAAGGAAAAAGTCTTAATGCTGAGAACCCCAACACTGAGGGCTGGCACTGCTCTACACACAGCTGATGTTTGTCAGCAACAAGCCTAATGAGCATCCCTATGATAAGGGCTGTACAGAAGAAAGTGTACAGATTCTAAAGAATTTTGTTTTTCTAAACCAAAAAGCTCAAAGTGGTGCAGACGAGGGAGATATAAGAACTGATCTTCGATTGTAATAATTAGTTCATTTATGGGAGATATAATGAGCATTACAACTCACCTTCAATCACAGCACAAGCAGCATCTAATAAGGGCCCATTACCTTGTGCAACCACATTCTTCACAACAATCACAACAGCTATAAATGAGGGCAGGGAAGATATGATGTCATAGGACTACATCAATTAAGGAAACTATGTAAACTGTGTTTGATGCATACAGCACAAGGTTCCATATGTAGAATAAGAAATTTGGACAGACACAGAAGGAAAAGATCAAACACATAACATGAGAGAATTTAAAGTTGCTATCTCGTAACAGATACACCCCATACCTAAGACACCTTTTAAAAAGATTACAACCATCACACCATTAATACCTCTACCCATTTAACTAAGACAATTCAAATTATCACGCATATGCAAGATGTCCAGAAGTATGTATAACTGTTACTGTAAAATATGAAATCTACCTCAGCTACAAAGAATGTAGCAAATACCTATATAAGTGAGAATATCGGTTTATTTTTAACAGAAAACCAGAGTTTCTGAATGTGAAACACTGAAATGGTGCAAACATTGTCTCCTAAAATCAAGAAATGTGAAGAGCTTGGTAAAACCACTTTCATTTATCCCCATGTCCTATATTACTAAATATGCATTTTCCTTTTTGGCTTCATGCATTTCCTCATATAGGCTTTCACACACACTCTCCCCTAACGTGTTTGGTCTTCAGTAGAGCTAAAGGGCTCTTGGCCTGTGGCTCTTAGCCTGAGGATCTGCCCGAGGGCCCTGACACAGAGTGCTCTTGGAATATACTTGGATGGCAATAAGAACATAAGAGAAGCCAATGTTGGATCAGGCCAATGGCCCATCCAGTCCAACACTCTGTGTCACACAGTGGCCAAAAATACCAGGTGGGGCCAGGACACTAGAAGCCCTCCCACTGTTGCCCCCCCCCAAGCACCAAAGAATACAGTGCATCACTTCCTCAGCCTGAGAGTCCTTATCTATACCTTGTGGCTAATAGCTACTGATGGACTTCTGCTCCATATGGTTATCCAATTCCCTCTTGAAGCCGTCCATGCTTCACCTCCTGTGGCAGTGAATTCCATGTGTTAATCACTCTTTGGGTGAAGAAGTACTTCCTTTTATCTGTTCTAACCCGACTGCTCAGCAATTTCATTAAATGCCCACGAGTTCTTGTACTGTGAGAAAGTGAGAAAAGTACTTCTTTTTCTACCTGCTCTATCCAATGCATAATCTTATAAACTTCGATCATGTCACCCCTCAGCCATCGTTTCTCCAAGCTAAAGAGCCCCAAGCACTTTAACCTTTTTTCATAGGGAAAGTGTTCCAACCCTTTTATCATTCAAGTTGCCCTTTTTTGCACTTTTTCCAGTGCTACAATATCCTTTTTGAGGTATGGTGACCAGAACTGTACACAGTACTCCAAATGAGGTTGCACCATTGATTTATACAAGGGCATTATGATACTGGCTGATTTGTTTTCAATTCCCTTCCTAATAATCCCCAGCATA